AAGGATAACATTTTCTGATCAAAATTTTGATCTTGGTAATCAGGTATTGAAGAACAACGAGCCTGTTAGAGTTGTTAAAAAGGGTAAAATGTTGGGGATTACCATTACAGATAATTTAAAATTGAATTACCATATTCACGACATTTGCTCTAAGGCTAGTAAACGTTTATACTTTTAAAGAATTCTACGACAAGCGAGATTCAATGTTACAGATTTAGTCAAAGTTTATTGCTGCTCTATCCGCCCAGTCTTGGAGTATGCTTGCTCTATATGGCACTCTGGTATTCCTGACTACTAGTGCAAGCAAGTAGAAATGGTCCAAAAGCAATCACTTTATATTATATGCAAGAATCTGTCCTATTCACAAAATAAAGAAGCGACTGCTTTGATGTCTTTACAAGATTGAAGAGAAATCCTATGCTGCAAATATTTTAATCAAATAATCATAACAACAAATCGATTATTTGAACTCTTACCACGTACTAACGACCACAAATCTACTTTGCATAAGGATCGCCTCCAGTCAATAATAGCTACAACAGAACGTTTTAAAAATAGTTTTATTCTATATGCAATTAGAACCTATTCATAGCTATTGATTAAATCACAAATCTATTCTATCCTGCTTGCTAGATATAAATATAATTGTATAGTTTTAGAATTAGTTCCACTTGAGATACAATCATATTATGTATTCTTAGTCAAGATTCTCATGTATTTGTGTATGTAGTTTTTAAATTTAAACTTTATATTGTATATAAGTAAATGTAACAATGTGTAATTCAATCCCTGGTTGCAAAACATTTATTTATCTAAAGACTGAGCGTTCGCATCACCACTATCCTCAGACTTAATGTCACTTCGAATCTCCATGAATACAATCTTTTAACCAGTCTATTCAGAAACTTCGTTCACCCCTTCTCCAGCAACTTGACTATTGCCCCTCTTACAACTCCATCCTTACCCTTAATCAATTTTTTCACCACAGCAACCTTCCAAAACCCACATTTTACTTGCTCGTCAAATACCAACACAACACGTCCCAATTCCGCCGTAACATCACCAGCCTTCTTCGAACTCTTATGGTACTCTCTCAGATCAGCCAAATACCCTCTCCTCTGACGAGTCCAAAAATGTTTCCTTAGCCTTCCCAAATATTTATACCTTCTGCGATGCCCTTCAACATCGTCTGCTATATCATTGTCAGCTCTCGCGGTACTATCAGGCATGGATTGAAGGTTGGTAGCCAAAGATTGTGAGATGGCGTCAATACCTTCACACCAACCTCATCATACTCATAAGTCAATCGTCGTGGATTGATAATTCCTTTAATCTCAATTAAGTTGGTTAAAAGTTCATTGTGGGTTAGTTTTGCCTTACCCAAAATTTTTCTCAACGCTTGTTTTACTGTTCCTATCATTCTTTCGAAAAACCCTCCCCACCAAGGGGATTTTTCTAAATTAAAATGCCATTTTATACAATTATTTGCTAAATGACCACCTAATTCATCATCGTGCAAATTTCCGAACTAGTTTTGATGCCGCCTAACATGTTTTTGCATTGTCTGACACAATCAAACTTGGTCTACCCCTACGGGAGGTAAATCGAATTAAACACCTCATTCTAAACGAGTTTCATTGCATGATTCAAGTGTGCATTTTGCATAAGATTTCTCGTCTTCTAATTGTCAGACTTTTGCGCCATTTTCTAGCTTATCCTTGCCCTCGCACTCTTCTATAACCTTCCTTACCTTGTCGCTGTTTGTGAGCCATTTGCGCATTTGAAATTCCCCCGTCTGAAAGTGTCTGTTTCAGGTGTTCATACAATTCAATTGCTTTTTTCTCTGTTTGTTTGCCAGAATTTAGATTGTTAACATAAAAACTTTCCTTCAAATTTTGCATGAATTGAGTCGAAATGGTAGCGCAACATTGCGTTCAAGAGGAATGGTGAACAGTTAATGCCAAAAACATGACAAAATCTATAAACAACAGGCAACATCTTGTCGGTGCTCAGATCGTCTACCCATTTTAATCGCAAAACATTTCGGTCAGTCTTGTCTATTTCAATGTTAAGAAATGCCTTTTCTAGGTCAGCAGCGGTCCAACATGCAAACAATTGTTTAGTGAAACCCTATTTTTACCTTCCTTGCATGAAGCGTCATACACTACCATAACTTTCGTCGTCTTCGCTTGCTTCCTAACAACTGCGTGGTGAGGCAAGTAATGAATCTTTTCTGCCCTCTCTAACTCTACAACTGGCACAATTATTCCTGCTTCTAGCTGACTACTCATAACCTGGTTATACTCATCTAACATGTCTGGATCGTGCTTCAGTTTTGAAATTTGATTTTTGAGTTGCTTTAAACTGTTGTTGTAATTCCTTCCTTCCACGGCAAATGTACCTGGTAACCTCTACCATTGAAGCTAATTGCTTCTTTCAAGACTTCATGCACTTTGTCCTCTTTGTGTATACCTAGGGCATCAAAATCTCACAACCTGGAAATAGTGTCAGCCATGTACTGGCTAGAGACATGTTCTTCTTTAATGATGTTCCACCGGCTCATGAGCTCCCCCTTGCACTACATTACCGTTCCCAAAGCACCAAAAAAAATCAAACCAACCAGGATATCTATATCAAATACCTCACTGTCCTTACACACATCCGAAAACCAAAGCCGTCGTAAGTGAGGATACTCCCTCTTTTCACAGGAAGCCCTGTGTCCTCTCACAACCTTGAAAGTCAAGAATTATTTGTGACTCCCCGTATCAAACATCAAGCGAACATGTGCTGAAGTTTCAGCGCCTTTCAGTATACCTTGCCACACCAGTGGACTCTCGAATTGAACATGCATAATTGGACTACCATTACTGGCCAAAGACCACTCCTCCCCTTTGGATTTGCAGAGAGATACATGGTGGCCCCCCTTATTACATATTTTACAATTACTTCTTCGACGACAGTCTTTAGATACATATCCTTTGCTTAAACATGAGAAACATCGTCCGTATTTAGGTGCTACTAATTTCCTATCTTTTACACCACTCACTTTGTCACAGTTTTCATGAGTTTTCATGTGTCATTCCAGGCAATAGGCACATCTTACATCTTTGAACTTGGCCATCAAGGCTGACGTACTTTGTAACCCGGCCTTAGCATAGCTATTTTCAGTCCGTGTGTTAATTTAGGTGTCCAGTGTTCTTCACGCAAGCACTCGCGACTCTTGATTCTCTTTTAAGATATCAATATTGAGATCGCCAATTATAAACACTTCTTTTCCATAAGTAAGGGCTAGGGTGTGTTTCTCCAAAAATTCATCCACGAAACATGCCACAGAGCAGTTGGGAGGACGATAAACAATACAGAATATGACTGACTTTTGATTCCTGTGCTGGATCTGTACCCACAATTGGTGAAAGCCAGACGGTGATATCCCGCTGAGCTCCCTAAGGATTTTAACTTTCAAAGAAGTTAGAGTATAAATGCAAACGCCTCCTCCTGATCTCGTTGTTTTATCCAACCTTGATAATTTATACCCTTCGATTTCTACTTCAGCATTTGACACGCTGATTATACTCCTACCATTTCACTTTTCCAGCAGCATTCTTCACCTGGGTCTCAGATAAAGTTCCATGGCAGCCATTAGATCTTCTTCTAATTGTCATTTTTTCTTTTCTCCCATCTCTGCAGCCAGTGTTTCAGATGCATGCTCTCTTTCACAAATCTCTTCCAGCAATGTGTCCAATTCTGTTAATTCAGGTGAAATACCACTAGCTCGTCTTTCCTCGTTTTCCTTTTTTCGAAACTGTTTCATTAGGATATTGACACCATGAAAAGGGATATCATAGCAGCAGGTCAGGACGAAATCAGGAAAGACACACCACAAAATGCCCCAACACCCCGACACAAATTCAGGGTAGGTAAAAGATACCCCTGCGAGACAGCAGAGGACAAAACCTTTGAACAACACACGGACAGCCAATCTGCAATACCTGCCAAAGAGTTGGGCATTTTGCATGATATTGCAATGAAGCAGGTATGACCAGTTTATCACCTCGTCCCCAAAGGCGAGCAGTATGGCCCTCCTCCCCAGCCCCCTTATCATAACCATCAGTATCCCCTAGCACCACCACCACTCTGAGAATAATGCTGGGTATTTAAACTCCCACAGGTCTTCCATAAGGGGACGGGGACCCACAAGTAACTGGATATTCCTCAGCAAATCGATATCATAACAACTCTTATTCAAACACATCTTATCAAACAAGTGGAAATTTCAATGAACATTATTCACCACATGTCCAACCCAACCAACAAAGTCAGTTCATACAAACACAACCACCCCCTCTACCCTCTCTTACATCTTCTGTGGTGCCACTTTAGGACAGTTAACACAAAATGATTTTGAGACCACGCTTATTACTGATCCGCCCACCCCTACGCCATGTACAGGATTACCAACAACAACTCAGAAAAGCACCAAACTACCTATTATCAATCCCTTGTCAAGCAAAATCCACCAATCTGATTTGGCTGATCTGCAAGACCCACCTAGAACACTACCCCCACCAAGCCCAACTCCCCCTTCAGCCACACCCTCTGATTTTCCCAACATGACCAACTGTGTGTTGTCTTGGAAAACAAGCCCTCTCAGAACTGCTTATTGAATACTCTGACGTCCCGTCTCATTCAACCAAGAGTTTGGGTCGAACAAACCTGGTCCAACACCAAGTATTCCATGGATTGGACGGGAACAACTGCCTAATATATTTGGATAATATTATTGTCTATTTCCACACATTCATTAGAAGATGCGCCCCGACTAAGTGTGTAATTTAGCGCTACCAAAGGTTCATGGGACAGCTGACAACGCGGTTTGTTCTGATTGGCCAGCCTCTTCATGGTTCCGAGCGCTTCCGAGCAACGGCTTTGGTTACACACGCCCGTACCAGGAAATCCACGCTCGGCTATATTCAATTTCACAGTAAACAGTTGTGCTGCTTTGGACGGTCAGAGTGTATGTGCTTATAAAATTCGATCGTTCTTTTTCTTGGTAACATTTTTTCTCGCCATGGCTATGTTTAATGTTGGAGATGCTGTGGAAGCTTTAGATGAAGTGTCTGTCTGGTCAAAAGGCAAGATCATCGCGAAAGAAGGCGAGAACTTCGTCATTTCTTTTGACGGTTTTGGCAGCATGTGGGACGTCTGTGTCAGTCCTGAGAATGTGAGGCCTGTTACTGTTGTTTGCTTGCCGAGAAAAAGATCCAGGAATAATCAAAATATGGTGAGTTATTCTATTCAATGATCAGCATCGCCTAGTAGAGGATTACCTGTCCGTTTTGGACCTTATGCTTATATAACTCGTTGTGTTTATAGTGTAGTCTGATGTGATTGCCATTAATACTGTTAGCTAGGTCTTGTTCTTCAAAACTAGTACTTTAGCTTGAACTAAACTGAAAATAACATGTTCTTTCTTAAACTCTGCACCTAAAGTTACTGTTTTGAACTGATACATTCATCATTCATGTCTGTAAATGAACTTTGACTGGGTATTTATTCTATTTAAATCTTCACTTGCAGTCTGAAAGCCTTAAGAAAGTCCAAGCTGGAGATGAAATATATGTGAGAGGGAATGGAAAAGTGAATGTGGTTCAAGTTGACCCAATCAATGGAAAGCTGATGGTATGTAATTATGATATGTATGTCAATTTTTATAGGGAAGGGACTATATATCAGCAATTAATGCACCAAAAGATAAATTATACAGAGTAATAAAATAGTGCATTTTATTAACAGGTTGAAGTTGACGGTACACATAAACAAGTTGGTGTCGATGAACTGTGCCCTCCACCACAGCTGCACCCACAAAAAAGAAATGGCAATGTCATGAAAGGCAAAAGAGCAAACAAAAAAAGGAGACGAGAGGAAACACCTTTGTTTGAGGAGAGTGAGCACCAGTTGGGTGGTGAGGTGGCAATGCCCACTGGACAATTTATGCCATATTTATATCTTATGCGAGATGATGGTATGTTTTTAAAAGTGGGCGATATTGTTACGGTGGAGGGAATGAGCTTGCCATTTGTCATTTGTAAGTTGTTTGTGGGTGAGGATGGCTGTACCAGTGCTAAGTTGGCTAAAGTTGTGAATACTGGTATAGAAGATCATTTTATTATTACTTGTGATGTTAAATTTATTGTTAAATATTCAAATGGAAAGGTTTCCCTGAGAGGTTCAGTGAAGGACAAAATTGAGCATGAAGCATTTGTTGAATATATTGGGTTTGTGGAAGGTAATGGTGATATTAGTGTTCAGAGCCAAATGAGGAAACAGTTGTTAGGTCATGCCATGCGTGTTGGTGTTCAAGGTGGATTTGGGAATTTAAGTAGCATGAAAGTTAATTTAGGGCCATCAGATATGTTAATAGATAGCAAGATCTTTAAATTTTCTGGGATGACTGGTGTGTGTAAGTACTCTTTGGTGGCAGATGGAGATTTTGAGTTTTTGGATAGCATTATGGGAAGTGGTTGGGATTACAAGTTGGGCAAAGGTGATGATTCATTTTTTAAATTTATCACAGAATTACATGTAAAAAGGTCTTCTGACCTTAATCTTTTTATTGTGGCAAGGTTTGCCCAATCACAATGTAAATTTAATATGGCATACCGTAATGATTGTTGCAAGGCAATAAAGGCAGACAGCAGATGGAGAACATTACACTATAACTCATTATTAGAATGTAAATACATTACAATACTTGTACTTGTAACAATTTTATCTGTTAATGAATATTTGCTTATTCACCCATGAAGCTATAATACCAGTTTATTTTACCAAAAAGTAAGGTGTGATATAGTGTATCTAATTGGTTTCACATTGCATTATTATACTAGTATATACATTATATGCAACAACCCTCGCTTCATTAAATGCATTAATTACAGCTCCAACAATTTTTTAATGAACTGACATCCCCCTGAAAATAACCATGTTTTAACCAATAGCTCTTCATTACTGTACCTATATGCATATACCTGCATGACTGAAATTGTTAATTATTACCCAGTCTTAATTGTTCATTAACTTCTTCAAAGTATTTCTGGCCTTTTTTACCATATTCTTCCTTCTGTTGAGTTGTCAGAGCTTTGTATATTTCAGCAAGGACAGGCTGAATTTCCTTGAATGGTAACCCGTTAATATTCACCTGCGGAGACTTTTCTTTCACAAACATCGCAAAAGCAGTGGGGGGGCGCTTTAGTTCTTCATTACGTTTCTTATGATGACTCCTTTTTGTCTGTTCCATGCTTGACTTTGGCATTCGTGCCACTCCTAGTGCTCTGCAGTGCAATGTTTGTTTGAGATCTCTGAAGGCACCGCAACGCTTGAAGTTTGTTTCCGCAACAGTGGCAACCTTTGTGTGGACTGCTGAGGTTCCTGGAGCAGCTTTAATTTGATCCAGATTGAGTGTATAACTGTCAACGTCAGGCACTGCATTGTCATTCAACTCTGTTACAAGTTGTGGGGATACAATTTTCCAGCCCTTCTGATAGGCAATTGTGATTCCAGGACTTGCACTTCCTTTATTGCATTCTCTTTTGGTGGAAACTACAGTGATGTTCACTGGCAGGTTTTCTGGAATGGTATTTAGGGCATGAACACGCCCACCTTTAACAATAAATAAAATAATAATATGAATAAAATATCAATAAAATCTCTAAACAGGGCGAAGGGCAACTGCATACCTTTCTTTACAATCATATCTGTGAGTTTCTCATGGTTGAGTTTGTGACTGGCAAATGACCCAACAAGAACAAAACGCATGCCAACCAGTGGACCACAATCAGCAGACTTGTCAGATATGGCTGTTCCTTCCACCGAGTTACCTGTCTCACATTCTTTCAGGCATCCATCGACAAACTCATACCAGATGCAACAATTATATAATATTATTAGAATAATATTATATACAATTATATAATAATTATATAAACAATTATATAAGCCAGACCCAACAAGCTTGTTAACATATACATTTTATTATGCTTGGTCGTCTAGCTGTCGAAATACATTGCCTGAACAACTTTCCTTTCCTCACTCACTCAACATTTGCCATTGGCCGGGCATAGATTTTCACTTGTGGTTCACTAGCAAAACATGTCATTGTAAAAACTGTATTTTTATTAAAAAAATTAAAATATTTAAATACTTATTTATTAGCTAATTTGTTTGCTGGGTTTAAAATATTTGTTCTGATAAATATTGCTCATCTTGAGGAAGCTCTGGGCAGCAAGTCATGTGAGTTCATACAATTTGACACCATGGCATGATACTGAGTTACAACTGTAGAGTCTGTAGCCAGTCTGTAGCCAGTAGCAATATTTCAAACTACAGTAACTGCTAATTCTCCATCAGTCCATAACAATGTCTCGAGTGTCAGTGTTACGTACATACCTTGTCCTTGATCAGAGAGAAAGCTTTCAATTTTTTTCCAACCACGATTTTTGACATGCTCGCGTATCCCTAATGGGTCTAAAGAGCTCTCTATGTCAATATATATGATATTGTTGTTGACAACATATGGTAGATCGCTTGGCCAGCCAAGACTTTTAGCAGTTGAAAAGCACTCGCCAAATCCAACTATGGTATTCATACCTCCTCTGCAAACCCTGCAAATAATATATAACAAACACGTTTAATAAACGTCATAGTGATGGTATTTTAATATCATTATTATTATAGATTTCAAAATGCCTAATGGACGAGTAATGACTAATTGTAATTGGCAATAGTATTACATACAGTGGCCATTAAACACTTACCGATCAATACTCCTGTGCTACTTTTCCTCTTCGTACAAATCCACCATACTTTATTCACTTCGAATAAACGTCAAGGCCAAATACCCACAAATGAACTTCAAATCGCTGACTGCTGAGCGTTTATAAAGTGTTCAGTGTGCGTGTGAAATTTGCGTGGGGAAGAAGCAGACAACGGATTGCATCACGGGATATCAACCGCAAATTATGCGGTTGATGCAACGGGCGCAACATTACACACTTAGTCGGGGCTAATCTTGTCATGTTAGACGAACACCTTTCTCGCCTAAGATTAGTTCTCGATCGAGGTGGAAGGGTGGGATGTTTAACAGTTAGGACATACATTTCTCAGAGACAGCACTACTGCTATGAAAAGTTTGGAAAAAAGCATTGTTCTAGACCAGCTCTCAGGACAACAGATTACATTATCAAACATGCAAAGAGGTTTGATATTGCAACAACGGATGTAGAAAGGAACGAAGTTCGTTTGGCAACTGGTGTATGTGGACTCAGTGTTCTGTTTTAACTCCATACATTGTATAATTTTGATCCAGTAAATGATCTTGTTATTAACAAAATGCATCTGTCCTTTAACACTCTCAAGAAAGAATTTCTCACATATATGTGGGCTGATATGGGAAATCATACTGGAAGTGATGTAAATCTTAGAGATCCAAATGAAGGTGGTCTTGTCTCAAGAAATCAATTTAAAGCAGCACTTGAACATGTCAACTGGACGAAAGAACATCTAAATCTCTTACTTATAGGCTCAGTGGTTGGAAAGCAAATGAATTTTTAAAGCAAGTTATTTCAACGGCTATAATTAATTATGCATTCTCTCCATTGTGCTAATTTCAAAACAACTCCCAATTTCAAATTTAAGTACTTAGAAGTCAGGCACCTTGATTTATGACCCTGCTTTCCCACAACGACTTTTTCTCTGTTTTATGCTATATAAAAGGGTTTAACTCAAAGGGCTTAAAACAGATATATTCGTTATGATGACTGTTCTGGCTGTTCTGGAAGGACAATGCAAACTTTCTGGAATTGCTTCTGCAAGATCCGAAACACAGAGTATACATCAGACACAATGGAAGTAATATATGACTGTGTTCCATTCTTTTTCACAGCTTAATGAAACCCTCAGCATGCTTTCTTTCCCTTGTATCAAAATCAGTGTTTTTTTAAATTTTATCCCAGTGCTGTAGGCATCCAATTTGATTATGAAGGACAGCAATACAGAGATTGTTTAAATGCTGGGAAAACCGCACATTGTGGTAAGTAGGGAAAGCCTTCATGGCAAGAAGAATTTTTTCAGTTCTTTTATCCTGGCAGCAGACTTATGGTAGTAGGAACACTTTCTTACATATCTTCCATTTGCAAGGTCAGAACGATGGCAAGCACACCAAAAGTTCAGCAGTTTCCTCTCTACATGATTTTCTAACCTCTTCCACAAGCCAGATTTAGATCCTGTGTTAGCAGATTCACCATCTGTAGTAACACCAGCAATTTTTTTTTCATTACAAGTTTGTTTACTCCAATTGTTTTTAAGCCTGTAAGAACACAATCTTCTAAGCCAGCAGCTCTTTTTAGGTCTGAGTCAGTTACACAAACAAATTTTGTCTTAATATCTAATGGGTCATCAGGAGAGTTTTATTTTACAGATAGAAACTTATTGTCATGCTGCATGGTGTCTACAGATCCATCAATTTGGGTGGAAAATTTAATAGTTGTGTTCACTTCATCTTTCAATTTCACAAGCTCTGGGATGGTGACAAGCATTTCTTAGTAAATGTTTGGATCTCTGTAATGCAAATCTATTGAACTTGGCTCAAATGGAATGAATGGACTCTGCAATAATCCATTTTCACTCAGAGAATAAATAAGCTGCTCAGCATGTGCTGTGGCAAGGGCTCTTGAAGGCCATGACTATGCTGATAGGGTTAGCAGTTTACTGTCATTGTAAACGTCAATTGCAAGTTTGATTAGATTTTCTGATTTTTAAAAACTCTTACCAGAGGATAATTTAGGTCCTGATTGTCCCATAGTTCCTTGTACTTTTTTTGCATCCAAAGCTGCCGGATGTATTTCACTATGCAAATGATCTATTATGTTTTTGAGTTTCTCTTCCAAATCACATCTTACTCAAAAGGCACGAAAGGCATACCTCAACGACCCCCTGTCTACAGAATTGCTGGTTACGATAAGGATGAGTTACAGGGAACATTCTACAAACAAGAATTGCAGGAAGTCAATAAGACAGACAGTGATTTTTATTTATAGAGTAGAACAAATACTTAGATCACACATACGTAATAAACATAAGGAATATTATGTAAAATGGCTAGGGTACCCAGAAGTTTAATTCATGGGTGCAATTCATATATAAATAAAGTATCATTGAACTCAAAAACATTTGTGTCCAAGCGTTCATCATGACTTGTTTGAGGTATTTTCCAAAAAAACACCATTGCAATTTTCAGGTAAAATTAGCCCCAAAAGAGTGACTCTTTGATTATTTCAACCGAAAGTCCTTTCATTCCATTATTTTGCAGGTGTTGTTGATCATAAACGAAGCTAGTTTTTAATTATATTAATTAATTACCAGACATCATAATTTAACATTTTGTACCAAATCTGTTTTAGAAACGCAGATTTAAAATCTTGTACATTATTTAAGTTTCCCTTGCAGCAAAATTTTAAAAGATGTGCCTAATAGTCCATGACAAGTTAATTATACTTTCATTATCTTCGTGCTTTCAATTTACAAATCATAATACTGCAGTGTTCATTAATCATTTTCTAGATATCGGGATGTGAATATTGGATAACCAGGATGTGTCCATGATGCCCATGTTCTTTAAAATTCAAGTCTTTATGCCAAGGGCCAGAATTGAGCACTGTCTTCTGAGGTAAGAAATATTAGATATGTCACTTGTAATTAGATATGTCATTTTGACTTCAGTCTGTTAACTGTCATTATAAATTAGGGTAATGACATTTTGCAAGTATCACCGCATGGTATAGTTGTAGTTGATGAATTCAGTAATTCACTGTTTGTGGTTCATTCTATTAGGAGGATGCAGGGGCGGATCTAGAGTAAGTCCAGTCAGTAGCGCGACTTACGTATTTTTGGCAGTAAAAATGATAACTAAATATTCAAATTTATCTTGAAATATGAATAATTAACGTCCTTCGAGATTATAATAAGAATTACAATCATAGTCCAGTTTAAAGGGTTCAGTTTCAAAAAAGCAATATTCTTTTATCCAGAGCAGCGGTAAAATGCAAAAAACTCGCAGAATCGGGTGGGTCAGCCGGCTCATTTGATTGCTCGATAAGCCATTTGGACTTATCTCGACTAATTTGTGGGATGGCCGGACTGATTTGCGCCTTAAAGGGGCCAAATCAGTCCATTTCTTGCAGTCAGTTTGAATTTACCGGACTTATCTCGACTGAATTGCGGGGTGGCCGGACTGACTTGAACTTTAAACAGGGTTCGATCGCTCTGTCTTCAGAATGATAACATTACAAAATTTATTATTAAACGAAGCCAGGTTCTCTACTTCTAATATTCTGTTATACAAAGGATTACAACTTTATTGTTAGAAAATTGCATTAATACGCAGACATTCGAAGCAGGATTTTACAAGATAACTGGCTCTTGATAAACTTTATCGTGGAGCAGAGATTTCATGCGAGCAACTGTGTTGATGTTAGACCAGTTAGACTTCAATATACGAGGGAACTAATCACGATATCCCAGCTGAACATGAAAGCTAAGACTGTGTTGGTAAGAGAAACGTTTAACATGGATATAATATAACGAATATAGCAATATACCTGGTTCGTTCACAGTTATTGATTTCATGCCGCTTTGTTGTGTAACTTGATCAATTATCAATATGGTTTATACATCATAAATAATCTTCCTAGACGCCCTTATTATGTCGCTGTTTTCTTTTGGAATTGAAATATGGGGTTCCGCCCTTGAGAGGAAATATCGAGAACGGATTGATCAATTTTTACGGCGAGCGTATAAATATGGATACACAACAAAATGTGTTTAAATAATGGATGTGATCGAGGAAAAGGACAAAATTCTATTTGGTAAAATATGTAGTAACATGGACCACCGTTTATACAAACTACTTCCACCTAAAAGGAAAAAGCGTTTAAGGGAACGAGAACATGATTTTATTTTACCCAAAGTCGAAACAGAAAGATTTAAAAGGTCTTTTTTAAATAGATGTCTTTTTGACAATTTTAGCTAATTTTAATAATCTTAAATTTTAATAATCTTAATAGTAAAACTTAAGGATTGACTTTTAATAACTTCAGTCATATTAGGTATTGTACATTAAATAATTCTATTCCATTCTTGTATATGTTGGTATATGTTAGTTTGAATTGTAAGGTCACACGTCTGTTGTGGCTAGATTTTAAATGTAAAGACTTAATAATAATAATAATAATAATTACAGTAATAAGTGTGTTTATACTAGAGACGCATAATTTATCCGGACAAAATTGTGCACTTGCTTTTAAATAGTTTTCAAAAACATTAGACGTCTTTGAGAATGAAGGCTATAGAAAACTCGTGTGTCATCACCATTTAAGCAAATTGCTGACTTCAACAACGCAGATGCGTCAGACGCGATAATCTTCAGTCAAGTAAAACAAAGTAATTTTGCCTATGCATGATGCAAGTTCATCAAGACAAATTATCCGTCTCTAGCATAAACAGAGCCAATGTTGTTGTTGAAGTTTTGTATAACGCCAATGATTGTATTTGCAATGTAGGTGAATATACGAGAATATATTATTTCATGGTTTGGTTTATTTGCCTTTTAATTACGAGATCAGTAGCGCCGGGTTTTTCATAGCCATAGAATATAATAGCAAATTAACCAGAGTCAAAGTGGTACTGTTTTATCTCAGTATCTAACAGATGTCAGTGAACAAACGATACCATTCATCAGTTGACAATGAACAAACGATGCTATTTATAGCATATAAGCATATTTACAGCTTGTAATAAGAGTGGACTTTACACATGTTTTCAAAATTACCCAACCTGTCATCAACACTTATTTTTACTACAACACAAAGGCTAAAAATAGCCAACCTACAGTAAACAACTTTTGAAGGCAAAAATTTTTTGAGACAAATAAAGATGAATTCTTTATTTCATGTGAAATCTTATTATGTGAAAGTATTTTGGTAATTATCGTAACTGGGAATTTAAGACTTGTCCAATCACAGTAAAATCAAGGTCCATTTGACAGCAGAGCCATGCAGGCACAAGCAAGGCAATGATTAAAACGATAATGTTGTGATACAATAATCAAAACATTCTGTTGCCATGTTGGTTCTCGTTTTATCAAAGTCGTATAATTTTCAAAACCAGTGTAGGTCTGATGGTCCAATACTTACGGGGGCCATGTCAATCACATCAAATATTTATAGCAGCGTGTTATATAGTAATTGTTGACAATTGACATAACTTTTGATATGCATTGTCAATTCTCTACGATCCCGTTTACACTATACCGGATTCACTTGTCACAATATCTTTGTTAGCCTTTAGGGGGCAACAGTTATTAATAGTAGCAAATACTTAGTAGTTTGATAGATTTGGTAGATTTATTTCGATCTATGACAGTGAAATTTAATAGCTACAAGATTTGACCACTCCAGAAGCAATTCGGTATAGTGTAAACCGAGCATAAGTCGTGCATAACTCCTTCGACATTCACTTTATAAAATCCCTATTATGTCAAATATGTTAATACCATTGGTTACTATGGATTTGACAACAACAACAATTTGAAATTACATCTGCTCTTTGATTGAAATCCTGTATGCTTAACACAAATTTGTTGCCTATATAGATATATTGTTAAGAATGTAGTTGATTTTCCTGTGTGAAATGTTAAAATTAAATGCAACCTATAAAATGCTAAATGCTTTGTGTTGCTAGAGAAAGGGGAATGGTGCTTAGGATGCACATATAAATACTCTTATCCATATTGGTAAATTGTAGTAATAAATATAATTTTTACGTACAAACAAATTTACTGCATCATGTGCATGCATAAAAATGCTTATGGCAAACATTTATACACCTATATGGGTCCCTATACACCTATATGGGCCCCAACAGGTTGCTTAGGCATTCAAACTCTAACAATTTAATTGTTATGGGTGATTTCAACAGTTTTCGTTTTTTTTGAGACACCCTGTATATAAACAACGACACCGTTGTTTCTTCCTAGCTCTCTGAAGTTCCAAATTATATCAGTGTCTTACTGAATGCTTGTAATGCATAACATAAATCTATAAATTGCGTACAATCTCGAGAATTTACTCCATTTTTGCATCACAAATGCTAGAAGTAAGCCTCTGTTGCTCCTTGTGTTTCCATTGTGAAATGTGAATATTAATCAAGGCCCAATAGAGGCTTTGCACAGATCACATGACCTGAAAAACGCTGCCATCTCGGTGGCCTTCGAAATTGAAAAAAAATGGCGGCAAGTACAAGCACTGTTGACAAGCGTGCACCAAGTTTACATGATTATCACAACTCTCTTAGCGCGGAAAATGTAAAGATACATGATGAAAAGTTAAAATTTACTGCAGGAGTTGATCCTTATGCAGTTTCTGGACATTTGTACTCCACTGCCATGGAGAATTATCCTGAAATAGAGTATCCGGATATCGTGAACCTACTTAGCTTAAAGCTGTGAGCCTAAAGCCTACAAAAGTCTGGAAGCTTATCAATATTTTGTAGCCGGTTCCATAAAGAGCATCCATGTTAAAAACGTAACAGAAAAAAACAGTTGTTCTTATAGGAAAAGTGAGTATGCCAAGTTTAAACTTTGTATCATTACAAACACTGTCAACATTCAACAATTTCACAGTAAGATTTTATTAGAAATATCGTCTTCTTTATAATAATAGGTGAACCATTCTGAGTGTTTAAATGAAGCTCCATTGACAGACTGTTTTAACGGCACATTGCAACTGTTTGGCTGGCCTTGGTGAAGTGTGTTCGCACGTTGGTGCTGTTTTGTTCGCTGTGGAGGCTGGAGTAAGAATGATTAAAGGTAAATTGTGTACTTCAGAACCTTGTAAATGGCTTATTCTGGCTTCAGTAACAAATGTGCCTTATGCTGAACTACAGAACATTGATTTTACTGCAACGAACACTAAAAAACAAAAACTAGATGACAAAATATCTGGATTAAGTGAGACACCTTCAGCAAAAATTACAGATCACATTATGTCCCTTCCCAAGCAATGGTGGACTTGTTTTTCCAAAAACTGCATAATTCTAAAAAACCCCAGCGATATTGTCTCTGGTGGCTCTGGTGTGCCAACTACTCCCCAACTGGACTTGCCCAAATCCTTGGATGGATTATATGAACAGCAGTTGACAACTCTGAGTTTTCCAGAGTTATTAGAGAAGGCTGAGGACATTTTTGATGACATAACTTGTACTGAGCAGCAAGTCACTGATGTAGAAGAATCCACTAGGGATCAGAGAAAGTCGTAACTATGGTTCAATATGCGATCTGGTAGAATTACAGCAAGTAGATTTTATGAAGCGTGCCACACAAGTCTTACTGAACCATCCATGAGCTTAATCAAAGGAATATGTTATAGATCCAAATTCTATTCCAAAGCTACTGAGTGGGGTAATAAAAATGAGAAAATAGCATTGGTTAAATACAATAAGGTCTGTACAGTTGTATGTCTGTTAGTTTATGTATTTTTTATAATATATATCAGTCCTGTTTAGGTTGTTTCTGCAAAGATAATGGATATTTTTGGAATACTTTCCGGAGAGATTTGTCACATTTTGCCTGACCAAAACACCATTTTTGAACCTATATAGGTGGCTTTATAGAAAAGGTTTTTGCTGACCACTTAAAATGTGTGGTATTTCTCTTTAGGTTATGGTTGAAAGTCATGTTAACTTTGAGTTAAGAGCCTCTGGTCTCTGGCTCAGTCCAGAGTATTTTTTATCTTGGGGCTACACCTGATGGCATTACATCTTGTGACTGCCATGGCACTGGTTTAGTAGAAGTGAAGTGTCCTTTCAGTGTGAGAGACCAAATTCTGCAGGAAGCAGTTGATAATGACAAACTTTGTTTGGAAAGACATTCTGATGGTCTTTAATGAAAACCCATGCATTTTGGTATAAAGTTCAAACCCAAATGCAAATCACAGAAAAGCAATTTGCTGATTTTGTTGTGTGGACTATGCGGGATTTACATGTTGAAGGAATTTCACAGGAAACTGATTTTTTTGATGGACAGATTGAGAAAGTGAAGGAGCTATATAAAACTGCGATTTTACCAGAGTTACTGGCAAAATGGTACACAAGACCAGCAGATGATATTTCTAACACACAAGCACTTTGTTGTTATTGTAGAGTCCCAAATAGTGATGAATTACTTGTGTTGGTTTGCACTGGCACTTCATGCTTATTTAAAAAGTTTCACTTGAAATGCTGTGGACTACCTAGAAGACCATCGAAACACAAGTTGGTTTTGTGACTGTAACAAGAAGACATCTGCAGATTGAATTATTCTCAAGAGTAATATTGCAAAGAACATCTTTTATTACACTCACGTCGGGCGAAAATGTACCTCGGGCAGTACATTTTGAGGTATATTTTCGCCCGATATGAGGCGTCTGTATTCACAGGCTAGCATTAACTTTTCACAAAAAGTTTGCAGAAGTGTTATGTGCCTTACCCTCAACTACCCTGTTGCAACAACAGATTTACAGCAATTTGTTAATGCACAGCAAACAAATGTGATTTTATCCAGTAAACATGGTGTGTTCTGTTCAGCAGACATCAGACTTTGTATGGCAACAATACCGTGTCCGAGTGTAACATACCTCTGTCTCTGACCTCAAGTCTTCAACTTGATATCCGTCTTTTGTATGTGCTGCATTTGCAGCTTCAACTTCCACTAACCAATCATCAAGAACTTCTTTGTGGCCAATTTCACGCATGTTGTGCACAACACAAGTGATTAGTAATCAAAGATGGCGGATGCTCTTTTGTGGCCCCGTCATATAACATTATCTATTTAAGCTATAAAGCAGACTTTGGTTTTATTTTGGTAGTATTTAATCAAGGTCTTATATCTACTTTAAAAATAGAAAATAAGAAAATTGAAACACAATTTGACAAAATCAAACAGTTAATTAATAATTTAAACAAGTTGTTTAATTCCCGTTGCAAAGAGCTTGATAGCAAGCTAACCAAAGTGATTAATAGCCAGACGTTCCTTGCTGCACAGTACAATGAAATCAGTGGAAGACTTAACAAAATGGAAGAAGAAAAACGTGATCTATCAATCGAAAATTCAAGCTTAAAAACCCAAGTAATGGACTCGGTAAAAGAGATTAATATAATTAAAGACAAGCTGAATAATTTGGAGCAATATATCAGACGCGACTGCGTTGAAATAAGAGGAATACCTAATCAAGGCTCTGAATCTGTGCGCCAGACAAACGAAATTGTCCAAAGAATCTGTGAGAAAATTGGCCTACTGGTTGATTGTGATATAATAAGTCATCGTCTGCCCGTCATAAGAGGCCCTCTGGATATCAACTTCGCTCATCAAGTCAATCGACCTCAATTGAGTCAGATCCAATTATTGTCAAATTCTCAAATAGGACAGTACTTTGGACAGTACAGAAGGTCTTTGAGAGATATAACAACAAGGGATCTTGGCTTCCAAGCGCAAAATAAAATCTTCATAGTGGAAAGTTTAACTCCCAAAAACAAGGAAATCTTTAATGGTTGTCTTGGTGTCAAAAGAGATAAACGGTTCAAGTTTTTATGGACGAATATGGGGAAGATTTATCAACGCAGAGATGAGAAAAATCCAAGGACTCTTGTGTCATGTCTAAATGACCTTGAGGAACTGGCTAGATGAGTACTTCTTTATATATCTGTGTCAAATATGTTGTGTACTCTTTTGAATTCTTTAAGTGAATTATGTCTAACAATGCGTGTGTAACTGACAGACTTGACTTTGGCTTATTACCACGTTTGGATATAACCTCTGATATAACAAAAATCCCATTTCTTACTCACTCTGATATAGATAACAATATGCCTGATGGATGTAATTTTAATTATTATAGTCCCCATGAATTTCAGAGCAACTCTGTATTATCTGAATGTCATTCAAGTAATGGGTGATTGTCTATTTTTCATTGCAATTTACGAAGTCTTTCAAAAAATTATGACAATTTTACAAATTTGCTCTCAGTGATAAATCATAATTTCTCTCTTATCAGTAACTGAAACTAGATTTAAGATAAACCAAGACCCCTTGTTGAACATTGGATTACCAGGGTATGATTTTTTATCTCAACCCACATTAACTAATGCTGGTGGTGTGAGATTTTATATCTCCAAAAACCTTAGTTACTCGATTCGTAAAGATTTATCAGTTTCCATTAGTGCTACACTTGAAATGCAATGGGTAGAGATTGAAAATAAATTTCATTGAAATATGATTTTTGGTGTTGTCTATGGACATCCTCATGGTGATGTTAATGTATTTATAAAAAATAAATAGTGTTATTGATACAATTAACAAGGAACAAAAATACTGTGTTATAATGGGAAATTTTAATATTGATCTATTAAAATTTGAAACACATTCAGATACTGATAAATTCTTAAATAATCTTTTGTCCTCTCACTTTCAACCTCATATTTTACAACCTACAAGAATTACTGACCATTCATCAACCTTGATAGATAATATATTCTTTAATTCTTTAGATCACTCATTAGTTAGTGGTAATATAATATGTGATTTGTCTGACCATCTACCAAATTTCTTAATAGTCAATAATTTTTCGCATTTGCCTAGAAATATCAAGGTTTACAAAAGGGATTACTCCGGATTCAGCCAGACAGCTATGATAGAGGATTTTCAGTTACTTCACTGGGATGATGTTTTGTCAAATTCTAATGATCCAAATTTACTGTTTGAATAATTTTTTGATAAAATCTCTCAGATTATTGATAAACATATCTCCATGAAAAAAGTGTCTAAAAAAGAATTAAGATTTAAATCTAAGCCATGGATAACTCCTGGCATACAAAAGTCTATCAAAGTAAAAAATAATTTGTATAAAAAGTACATGAAATCAAAATTGTTGTAGTTTCTTACTAAATTTAAATTATACAGAAATAAAATTAATCGCTTGATTAAGATAAGTAAGAAAAAATATTACAACAGTTATTTCTCAGTTAATGTTAAGGATAGTAAGAAAATGTGGAGTGGAATTAAACAGATTACCTCTTTGAAATCAAATAACAAATCTACTCCCACAAAAATGATAATACTTACACTGACTCAAAAACTATTGCTAATGCCTTTAATGAACATTTTGCTGGAATTGGTTTTAAACTTGCACAATCAATTCCAAATGTAAACAGAACCCCTTGCAGTTTTCTTCCTGCTTGTTTACAAAATAGTTTTTATCTGACTCCAGTTACATTTGACGAAATAGAGACTGGAATACTTAATTTGAATGGTGCGAAATCCACAGGACCTTATAGTATTCCTATAAATATTTTGAAGATAGTCAGAACTCTTGTGTCCAAACCACTTGAACTAATATTTAATATTTCTTTTCAAACAGGTATTGTACCTGACAAACTCAAATTAGCTAGAGTTATTCCAGTCTTTAAAGATGGATCTAAATTACAATTAAGTAATTATAGGCGGTGTCTGTAATATACCAACTCCCCAACTTCCCAACTTCGCGGTATAAATTTTCCGGTCGGCGTTAAATAATAAATAATTTATGATAATTATGTATGCGTAAACAGAGCATGTGTCATGTGCAAACGTGCAATATCCAAATTTTTCAACATGGCTGTTTGTAGCGATTTACTTTATAAAAGTGATCTTAGCAGCGAAGATCGTTTTAAGCTGCTGGTAACAGATGTTCCCGTTGAATTGGCACAGGAAAAACCTCCACCTAACCCGTCGAAAAGTGGGAATTACCTTGTAGATAAGAATGCGATTGGCGTAGATTGGAAACACACATCCAGCTCTTGGCTGAACAGGAATACCAAAACACGCATCTTCAGACGGTTGATTCGACTAGATGATTCTGACGACGACGATTCAGACGACGCAATAAGTTGGCAAAGCAAAGAAATTAAAGCCAAAGATATTAAAGGAGCAGTGTCACCGCATGCGCATCTTTTCTGCGCATACATGAAACTTGAAATAACAGGCTGTTTTTTCAAGCTTATCAAACGCAAGATGGCGGCTACTCAGGGGGCAAAGCACGGTGGCAAACGCGATAATTCCGGCAGGAAAAGAAAGTTTCAGGGCGCAGAAAGTTTTAGTAGCCAAAATAAATGAATTTACTTATCGTTAAGTGTATTTTCGGCTTGGCGAGAAGCGAAGAACAATGCCGGTTACAGCAAGTACAGTGACAGCGATTTCACTGCGCATTTGTTGTCATTGGAGTATCGTAGAAGGTAAAATTTCAACGATTTATTTTATAACTCATCATCCTATGTCTACGTATTCTATATATAGTTTGACGTCGTGATTTTTGCATTTTAAAGAGCTGATTTGAATAATCGCAGAGTGGAAGAGCGACCCCCAATTCCAATCACAATCGATGAGGGTGACCAAACACGTGGCATTATTTCGGGTATTTTAATTTTAATATATCAAAGTCTAAGTATCAAAACACAGTTATGGTACTTTTAGAATAAATGCCCAAAATAGTTTAATTTGTAAGATAAATTATACCGATTATTTTAGATTGGGGTACATCAACACCAATGAAAGTCCAAGGTATTGGAACTAACTTGCCATCATGTGATGTGTCGCCAATTGAGAAGGAACAACAAGCAGAGCTTGATGTGCAGCCAGAACAAGAAGCGTCAATTGGTCAGGAAGCAAGTACATCTCACCATGAAAGGTACTGAGAATTATATTTGCACCTTTACCATGTTGGTTGTATGGTAAAAAGAATTACTTTTTACAATGACCTAATTGCAATTTTGTTGTCAAATAAGTAGAAAATTCATTGAATTCTTTTAAAAAGTTTGAATGTCTACTTTCTTTCTACTTTAGTAGATTGAATACATCTATGTTTTCTGATGATGAGTTGTCTTCAGAGGATGGTGATGATGACAGGGATATTAGGTATTATATATTGTTATGTGTGCCTATATTATTTGTGAACTATCATTTATTTATTATACTTTATTCCACTAACACTTTACAATTGGAAAATTCATTAAGTATTTTTCTTTCTCACTTTCAGTTTTCATGACCAAACAATGTCAATAATTGAGGGAATGAATGCTGATCATGATGACAACTTGGAAAGGGATGATGATGCAAAGTATGAATATGTCATTTTGTACACTGTTGGTATCTTTGTATATAGTTATAAGTTATAAATCTCCACACACTTTTTGTATATGATATACAAAACCAATGCAAAATGTATTTATTTTATTTTTAATAGTTTCAGTGATGTTGAGTACACATTAGAGAGTGATTCGACAGATGAAGATGACAACGAGCATGAGTGGTTGGAAGGTCAATGTGACCATGAAGATGATGAGCATGATGAGCATCTTGCTTGGTTTGATCGCAAAGATAAAGATTATCAAGAGCTGCAAAAAATAATCCTAAATCCAGAGCTACTTGCAAGTTTTAAATACTATACCCGTTTTAGGTACAGAAAAAATATTATTGATATAAAAATATTAATAATATTTAATCAATGCAACAAGATTAATGTGATCATTTTAACATCTTTTTTAGACATACAGGTGGCATAGAATGTGCCAACAGCCTTGGACTTGTTTATACCCCAAAGAGGACCCCGTTCAGGTAAAATTTTGCCAACCACCACAATTTTGTGTGAGAGAAGGGTCTTGAAGATCTTGTAGCTTAATTGTATTGATTGTTTCTAAATGGAATGAATTAATTCACTCCAGATACAGTGCATACAAGGCTAGAAGACAGCTCACAGCCATTGATTGGAACTTCCATCAAAACCTCCAGCAGGCCAAGACAAAGCATGGTGATGAAATTGTCACAAGGAAATACAATCCACGAACCCGAAATTGGGACCTCAAGATGGTGAAGGTGCAAAAGGGGTACAATTACATCCCAGTGCTCATAGCTAAAATTTTAAAACGAAGAACAGATGACCACGATATAGGTGGTGTTACAAGAGCAGTGGATTTGAATCAAAGTGACCCTGCCCTAATTTCTCCTACCATTGCCCACTTACCCCCACCACCTACAAATAGGTGTTAACTATAAACCAGCCCTAATGTCTTTATTGTAAATACTATGTACATATCCACCAGCCTTTCGCATGATGACAAATATCTGCCATTTGTGGGGTACCATCTTTTATGCCAATTTTGACCTATAGTATGACCTTGTAACCGTCTTTATTTTAAGGCTGAATTTTGTTCAAAATAATGGTCTGTTGATTCTAAAATACTGGTTTTATATGGTTATAATTGTTTAAATTGATTTAAGAAAATTGAAATTACCCCAAAAATGGCAGATATTTGTCGTGATGAGAAAGACTAATTGTAAATAAATTAACCTGTCTTTTGTGAAATAAATATAACAAACTCATAGCTATAAAATGGTTTAAAGTATGTACATTTAGTGTTCTCTGTATCCTATATAAATTCCAGTCACAGATGGAAAACGCTCCCTTATTTTCAAAACTGTACAGGAAGGGCAGACACGCCTGTTACCTTTACCAAGACGGCCATAGCGTGCAAGAATGAATTGCCTATATGCTGCTTTTCTAAATGCCCTTGTACTGTTGTCCTCTTGGTCATTTCGAATGTCTGCTCTATTCCTTATACATAGCTCCAGAACATCAACATCCAGGCACAATTTGGCAAAACGTGATGTAAGTGTTATTTCTTTTACTTGCAACACTTGTTTTCAATTTCCTGGGGCATTGGTCTACATTTGCCACAAACACACCAATCCGGTGCAGCAGCATTTGGGGGCTCTTCAGGTTGGTCCAAGTCTTGTTGTCCAACATCGCTTGATTGCTCTCCAAAATCACCAAGTTGATCATCTTCTGGGTCTTCATCTAGGTCATCTTCCATTATCAGCAGGGTGTCAATGTAGTCCATGCTACCAATGCCTCTTCTCAAGCTTCTAATCGCAAGTTTTCGCACCAGTTCTTCATCCAACGTTCCAATAAAATCCTGTAATAATTAGACAAAAGCTTTAAAGTTTTATAGATTTAGGCACAAAATAATCATACCTGTGACTCTCAATTCACTATATATTGTCTGACCGGTCAACCCATGATAGTATAACTCTATCATATATATCATAACTTTATCATAACTTTATCAAATCTACCAACAGGTTGGCTTGTGAAATTCATCTACATACAATACATGTGTATTTGTCCACCTTCACATCCTTATGTTCTTTTTCCCTCAAAGCATCCTCAGATTGCAATAGTTGTGAGTTAGCACTGCTCAGTCTAAAGCCTTGTGCTTGGCCACGTGTTCTACTTCGCTTGTCGCGGTTATCGCGCTCTCTCTCTGTGTTTTGTGGCGTATCCTACAGTAAAACCACATTAAGAATTTGTATCTTGTATGAAAGAAAAAAAAATTGGTTATATCGTAGATTTATAGGCAGACATACCCGGTTTTTGCAAGGTTTCTTGCTCGTACCACATTGACACTCTGCCGTGCACTCGACGTTGTTTCCTTTACAAGGACATCCACGACTCCCACTCGCTTTTCTTTTGATGCTGCAAGAACTCTTGCAATCGCAACGACTTGTCTATACGCGTAATGAAATACAGTTAACCGTACACTGATTACAGCTATGTATATTATATGCAAAAATGTAAATATATGTAAATTTTTACTCACCATGTTGAAAAGAGTATGAGTTCACTGTTCACTCATAACAATGGTGCCGATTATCTCCGATCGCTTTTCCGACAATTTCCGACAAAATTTTTGTTATGCGCAGAAAAGATGCGCACGCGGTGACACTGCTCCTTTAAGGCTGGGTTGCAGGGTGAGGGTTACCTGCTAAAAACGACTTACTATAACCATGCAAACGAGAAATACTCGGCCGTAAGAAGAGTCATCACAACGGTTGAAAGCTTCAAAAACAACGAAATTGGTAAGGCAATTCAAAAAAAAAGATTGGGGGATTTGCTGGGGGGGGGGTGCCACCCCCAGGCTATTAGGATTAGAGTAAGGGTTAGAATTAGCATAATTAGGATTCGGTTTAATTAGCTTAAAATACAAAAGAATACAAAATTACAAGTCTAAAAATATAGAAAGTACAGTATACCCGCACCAGATGTAAATCACCTGCTACAAAGAATTTCTCTGATTTGTCGTAAAAGTCATATGCACTTGTTATTTTAAGTAGTTATCATTTGTTATTGTAACCAAGAATTTGGTTACTTTTTGTCACCTAACTGAGGGTATATAACCAAGTTTTATTTGATGACTGATATTTCTTCTATAGATAATGTCTACTCAGCAGTACTGTGCCAGCAATTTGTAGTTTTTTTCCTTTTTAGAAGAGATGAATTATGCTCTTATACAATACATGTTTCCTAATAACATGGAGCAACAGTTATCACCAAAGAAGAGAAAAGGAAAGCCTTTCATTCCAACTGCACCATCAATCAAGAAGAAAATACAAGAGGCTGCTGGGCCAAGTACAACTTATCAACCTTTAAAAAACACCGTATCAGAAATTGAAGCAGGTATGTGAGTCTCTCCAGGGGCATGTTTCAAAGATTGTTGTTATGGACTTGGTGAATGTTTGTTACCAGCTTCTCATTTTCATAAAAATCTGTTTCATATTTTGTATCTTGCCTATTTTCTTTTGGTATTTTTCATGCATAAAATTTTAGAGGAAATTTTTGCACATCTATTTTTTCCCCGAGCCGGTGCGGAGCACCGTGCGAGGGTACTAATTCCGCCCGGAGATTAGGAATTACACCCGGGACCCGGGATAACATAGCGGAATCCAAAGTTGCCCAAATGTCATGGACGTTCAATGGTCATGGTACTTGTGCGCATGCGCGAAATGCGAACGCATGTAGACTGGTGATCAGCAACTTCCTGATTGGCTAAGACGAAACGTTTGTGTTTCAGTGAAAAACGTCAGCAATTTAACTGTCATTTTGCAAACTACTTTTTAAAAAAATGTTTCGAAACCAAAATATGAAATGTGGAATCAAATAACAGATAAAACACTGGGAAGAGTTTAAAATATTATCAGAACTGGAGGAATTAGCGGTGAAAAGGGACAACTCGATTATAATCCTTGAAATGGTAGGAGTCTATTTTGTTTATTTCGAGCTTTATTTCGTGTTTGCTGTACGAATACATTTTATGACCTTGGTACAGTATGTCGTTTTGCTCGGTTTTGCGAAGATGTGACCGACTATTTAAGGCTTTACATCATCGTTTTAACTTCCAAAGAGTCCTTAAAAGTGTAATTCGGAGTTTTAATATAACAATAATCACTTTAAAGTGTTATATATACTCGACTGCAATCACTGCATGAATTTAATAATCAAAAAACAACATTCGACGTTCACTGCTTGGTTATTTATATTATTTGGGCTGTTTTGATGTTTTGAAGGTTTAGCTATAATGAAGTATTAACTCTCACTTAAACTGTGAAAGTCTATAACTTAATGCAACGGAAAGCAGCAGGAAAACGGGTGATTTCACTTCACCTTTACGACTGTGTTTGTTTTCTAAATATTTGAAACATCAGCTATCGGCTTTACATTTAGCCGAGACATTTCATATAAATATTGAAGGTTAGGTCTGGCTAGTTCAGGAAATATTTTGCTTCGTTTGAAATGGCGAGGGGTTGCTGCATGCATGTATTTCTAGTTCAACACTAATTTGAACCCTGAATTGTAAGATTTTTGTCATAACATAGTGGCACCCCGGTACTACCTTCAAATTTGTATAACAGTTATACACTTGGTCCTTTTAATGATAACATACAATCAAAAGTGTGTTGGTTATACTCATGCCAATCAGAAATAGGTCTCCATGATAATAGTTTGGAATTTGTACCCATGGTAATAACAGTAAAATTTCTATATAAAATCAGTGATATGCGCCAGTTGCAGCTGTGTCACCATCACCTTTAATGTGTACCTGTTGCAAAAGTTTACTTGATTGAGATTCATATAATCAGTTATCATAAATGCAATCATTCATCAAACACTCATGCCCTACTAATATGATATTTGCTGGATTAGGAATTTATTAGTTACAGAATTGTTCTTGAAGTTTCTATCTTCATAACAGCCATAGCATTCTACATGGACCTTGTTACATTTAGCAATGCGTGTCAGAAAAGGATGTAACCACCAGTAGTGTAGCCAGCCCGCTGATTTTGTCCCGCTATGCAAATATTGTTGTGTTCATTGACTGTGAAAACAATGAATTTCTGAAGAAATGAATAATGATAATAATCGTGAATTTGCATAGCGGGATGAAATTGTCAGGCTGGCTATGCCACTGGTAGCCACTAAAAACTTATTAACCAAGAAAGCATAAGCTAAACTTGAATTGTCAAAAAACCAGGCCTATAATAATACTAACTCATCCTTATTAGTTATTATTTTTCATTTAAATAATTGCTTCATAGGTTTGCCAGCTTTTGAGGAAACTGAGCTTCCTCACTTTGTCAAGGGTGCTTGGAGTAATGCTAACCAAATACTCAAGATTAATGGTGTTAAAGATAATCCTTTTCTTAAAAGCAAGAAGTTGGTAGCCTCAGTGACAAGTGACAAGTATCATGATGACACATGGCAAGGAAATAAACTAAGGTACAGTAGGCTCTTTAAATAAACAGAGGCCAGGTGTTGATAATGTAAAATATAAATAAATACATAAACATCTTTTTTTATTAGACTAAAATTACATTTCAGATGTGATTGTGATGGATTTAGGACAAGATGTATATGTGCACATAATATCGCTGTTGCGTTCCAAGAAGGAAAGCTACAGCCGCTTCTAGTTCATTACCAGCCTCCAAATTATCAGCAAACAGCAGAAAGCCGACAAAACCAGTCAAAAGCTGGACGAAAACCAGGATACTGTCCCAGGAAAAGGGTGAATCAATCCAGGTCTGTGGAAGGTTTTGAACAACCTTATTTAATGTCAGATGATGAAGTTGATGATGAAAGTTTTGACATAGTTTTCGTCAAAGATACGACAGCATACAAGTGTTTTGGCTGTACTGGATTGATCCGAAGAGATGGAAAATCACCTCCTCCTCCTCCACCATTTGATATTTTTGTGAAAACAAAAACTTTCAGGCACTATAGGGAAAAGGCAAAAAATGGAAACCCTGGTATCCTTCACATCAAGAACAAAAAAGAGAATGTTTACTATCACCCTCAACTAGCTTGTATAGCTAAATCATGTGCAGATGTGGTGAAAAAGTTAACCATTTCTGATGAATTTAAGTATCGGCTAACTAAGTCTCATAAGGATTTGATGTGGAATGAGTTTGGACTCAGACTTTGACAATATGCTTTATGCATTAGCAGTACTCACATTTTAATGATATGTTTTCGATTCAAAATTGCAGTTAGGGTTGTTACAGTCATTCTGGCATGTTGAACACTTGTACCATACTTTTTTCAATGAGTATATCTCATTCAATGTTAATGCAGTTGACATTTACTTGCAGCTTTATAGTAGGAAGCTATTTGCTTGTTTGGTTAATTTCATTTGTCATAGAAATTGTCTACAGTTGATAATGATACTAGTATTGTCAGGTTGTAATTATTGTTTATTTTTATGGTGGTAAAAAAATATTCATATAATAATATCCCTGGAATTTGTTGTTGTTTTCAACACAAAAAAACCATAGACAACATGTGATTACATTAGCCCTTGGCTGGTCAGTTAACTTATAGATGTACAGCGTGTACATGATAAGCTGAGGTAATACATCACAATGTGCAAGAGATCAGTGATACATTCATTGATGCAGCTTCTTTTGGACAATATTTTTTGTTCTTACCATGTTATGACATTATTTAAAGTCTTAACAAGTATTAACACAAATGTCAATAATAAAACATTAGCAAAATGAAAATTTCAGACAATTGCCCTAATAATCATTTGAGTTCCTTTCATTTAAGTTCCACCCTAGGAAAACATTTAAACTTAATTACAGGCCTGATTAAGCGTAGACAATAAGCCATTGGCAAGGAATGGTTGTATGTGTGACTGCTTTAGAAAAGGATCTAATTTTGCAAGAGCTTGTCGTTTTTGTTCGATGTTCATTGCACAGAATTCTATTTCATCAACACCAAACTGCACAAAATCTGGAGCAAGGGCATATGGTCCGTGCCCAATCATTGCTTGGTGAAGAAAACACCGCTCTTCAAATACTAAATCTCTGTAAATTTCAACAGCATCCATTAACGTGCACGGCTTAGTTATGCAAGCGCCATCTTGGCTTAGCATCTGCTTCTCTCTTTTCTTGTTCATCTTCTTGTTCAAACATTCTAGAGCATTATTGTAATACAGCTCCTCACCTAATCCAGCAGCCTCTCTGATGTCAGCCAACATCCCATCTTTCATGTCATCTTCGACATGAGTTTTAAAGTATTCAACAAACTGTGGAGGCCAGTTCTGTACCATGCTGCTTAAAGTGCTGTCAAATGAAGATCTGGTGCAATCGACCAAGCCCTTCTGCATCTGCTTTGCTGAACCAAAAAGATCTTTAAAAACTTGTTTTTCTGTGTCCTTGTCTGAAATGTGTTCTAAAATGTTACTTTGAACATGGCGAGTGCATACCTCTATCCCCTCCAATAAAACGTAGTTTATCTATGTCAGGTTTTGATTCAACAAGGCTGTGAGCAAAGTAAAGATATACTTCTGCTGATTCCTCC